TTTTCAACCCAAGCTTCTTCCTACTATCAAAGAAAAGGGGAAGAGTGATGTGGAGGGCAACAAGAGCAGCCATTCTTTGGTCCTTATGGGAAGAGAGGAATAACAGAATATTCCAATGAGCACAAAGATCAACAGAACAAATCATTGACTGTGTAGCCATTAAAGTCATACATTGGCTGAAAGTAAGTGACTTATTTAAAGACTTTTCAGTGGATGATATACAAAGGGGATGGTCAACAGTGGCAAACTCTTCAACTAAACAGCTTGTCCTTCAACCTCGGACACCTACAGCACAACAAAGGGTAAAATTAAATTTTGATGGAAGCTCCATGGGTAACCCAAGACCCTCAGGAGCTGGGAGAGTCTTTAGGGATGGGGAGGCAGAATGGTGGCACTATACTCTGGTCCCATAGGAGTGGGAGACTATGAGAGCTGAAATTTTGGCTCTCCTACAAGGCCTAGATTTGCTAAGCAATAGTGATTTCAGAACTTGGAGGTGGAAGGGGACTCTAAGTTGTTAATAGGGTGGCTACAAACAAAGAAGTTGGGTGTATGGAAGTTTAGACAGAAAATAAGGGAAATAATCTGCTTGGTAAGGGAAATGGAGTAACATTCAAATGGGTAAGGAGATCAGCAAACTCAGTGGCAGATAGCTTGGCAAAACAGGGGACCTTCAGGGAAAACTTCTTTTGGGCTGTACTGTAATTCTTGATGTTATTTTGGGGTCAACACTCTTTGTCTGAGTGGTTAACAGTGCAAGATGTTTATTTGATATCATTAATGAAAGTTACCGTTTGGACACCTGCAGCACAACAAAGGGTAAAATTAAATTTTGATGGAAGCTCCATGGGTAACCCATGACCCTCAGGAGTTGGGGGAGTCTTTAGGGATGGGGAGGGCAGAATGGCGGCACTATACTCTGGTCCCATAGGAGTGGGAGACTATGAGAGCTGAAATCTTGGCTCTCCTACAAGGCCTGAGATTTGCTAAGCAATAGTGATTTCAGAACTTGGAGGTGGAAGGGGACTCCAAATTGTTAATAGGGTGGCTACAAACAAAGAAGTTGGGTGTATGGAAGTTTATACAGCAAATAAGGGAAATGATCTGCTTGGCAAGGGAAGTGGAGTAACATTCAAATGGGTAAGGAGATCAGCAAACTCAGTGGCAGATAGCTTGGCAAAACAGGGGACCTTCAGGGAAAACTTCTTTTGGGTTGTACTGTAATTCTTGATGTTATTTTGGGGTCAACACTCTGTCTGAGTGGTTAACAGTGCAAGATGTTTATTTGATATCATTAATGAAAGTTACAGTTTCCAATAAAAAAAAAGAGATAAGGATTTTTTTCTTTCTATTATTACCCCATAAGAAGGATTTTTGTGATGTATCAATATTTTCCAAATTTTCTGTGGGAAATTCAAGTCCTCATAAGAAACTATGCCATCATAATATAATATAATGTATTATATTATATATTACATATAGGTTATATATTATATTATACATCTATAGGGTGCCATTTCACAGGTTGACCAATTTGACCTAGGTGATGAGCCCGTGGTCTGTGACCCAGAGGAAAAAATGGTTCAGCCTCTGGGTCGGTTCTCTGAACCAAGGTTGAAAGTACCGAGATGATATGCCCCATATCAGGCATATTGTATCATATCTTCGGGTTTCTAATACACCTATTTAAAGGTATTTTCAGCAAACCAATATTTTTATTGATTAAATAGTAAAAAAATGTGTAAAAATGAAATTTTGAAAAAAAAACTAAAAAAAATAAAAAAGCATGAGTTAGAAAGTATTGATACACCCCTGCCAATACATCTGGGTGTATTGATACTTCAAACCCTGCTCTGAACATTGGAAAAAAACATGGGATTCGTATATGAAATGTTTTTCAAGGAATACTAAAAGCACATTATACATTTATACTTTAGACTGAAAAACAATAACAAACAACTATGTATAATAGCTTGAAAGCTTAAATAGGCATTGATGGAAATATTTAATTATTATCATCACCATTCTCTAGGCTGAGAATGGTGATGGGTTCAATTATCTGTCTCTCAAGGAGCTTTAGTCCACAATAAACACATTCAAGATGGAGTCTTGATAACGAAAAAGTTAATTGACTCTAGAAGAAGCAATATTAAGAGGGGTTTAGTCTGCAAAATTGTTCTAGAGAAAGCCTATGATCATATGAATTGGGCTTTCTTAAACTACATGGTGTATAAGATGCACTTTGGACAAAAATTGAGAAACTGGATGAAGGTATGTGTCACCACTACCAGGTTTTCAATCCTTTTAAATGAACCTACAAATGAAAAGGCAATTTCAAAAGCTCTAGGGGCCTTAGACAAGCTGACCCTCTTTCCCCACTGTTGTTCCTCATGGTGATGGAAGGGATAAGTAAGATGACTGCTAGAGCCATAGAAGGTGAATGTCTAGAAGGCTTTGAGGCTGGAAGGAATGGTGGAGGAATTCCCCTACTCCAATTTGCAGGCAACACTATTTTTCTGTGAAGCTAAAGCAGAACAAGTGGTTTGCCTAAGATACTTACTATGCTGGTTTGAGGTGGTATCAGGCTTGAAGGTTAACCTTCCTAAAAGCAAAACAATGGCAGTTGGGGAAGTGGAAAATTTGCATGACCTGGCAGGTCTGTTGGGTTGTAAAACTGGCTCCTTACCTTCCAAACACTTGGGTTTGCCATTAAGGGCCAAATGAAAGCATTTGGGCCCCAATAATAGAGAGGGTAAGCAACAAAGTAGCCTTCTAGAAAGCAAGATATTTACCAAAAGGAGGTAAACTGACCTTGACAAAGAGTGTATTGGCCAGCATTCCAGTTTATTACATGTCTCTCTTCCCCATTCCACCAGATAGCCTTGACAATTGAAAAAGTCATGAGAGACTTTTTAAGGATTGGGTGGAAGGATTCTCAAAGTACCATCTGGTAAGTTGGGATCAGATTTGAAAACCAGTCAAACAAGACAGCTAGGGTATCAAAAAAATAAAGCTTTTCAATTTGGCTCCCTTGGGTAGGTGGTTCTGGAGGTTCTTCAGTGAACCAAACGAACTTTGGTATGTATCACTTCTCAAAAATATGGCACTTAGAACAATGGTTGGGATGCAGTTGAATCTACCTGCCCATATGGCTGGGGAGTGCGGAGAGGGGTCTACAAAGCTTATCCTCATTTCCTAAAAGGAATTAAATATAAGGTAGGGGCAGGGAATAGACTGAAATTCTGGAAAGACAATTGGTGTACTGATTTACCCTAAAGGATGCCTATCCAGAGTTGTTCTCAATGGCTTCCAATAAAGACGCCACAGTGGCTGCTTCTTATGTCACAGTTGAAGACACAATGGTCTGGTCACCATCATTTAGAAGGAAATCAATGACTAGGAGGTGCCCCATGTTGCAGATTTGCTATCCAGATTGCAGAACCTAAGTTTGGAAACACAGCTCCCTGACCAAAGATACTGGAAATGGTCCAAATCTGAATCCTTTTCTGTGAAATCTTAGCTCAGTCAAATCTCTCTTACAAAGCTGGAAAGTTGGAAAAATGTGCAAGGAAGGATCCTATGGTCAGCAGTACCTCTAGCTGTGTTGTGGGCTATTTGGGGTGAAAAAAATAGGACTTTTGAGCAAGACACTATCAAGAAGAAAAGCTGATAAACCTAATAGTTGATGATCTCAGAGGCTGGTTAAAGTGATAACATACTTTTCAAAGAGGAAGTTTTATCTTCATCTTTTTTGACAGTGACTTTTTTGGGGGTTTAAGGGTGCATATGTGCAAAATCTTTTTGCACAGTGAACTGACATACATGTATACCATTCTTTTTTATTAATAAAAATTTACTTTACCTCATCAAAAATCAAATAAATAAACCAAAGACAAAAGTTTGGGTCCAGGGACACAAGACTTGTAACCACTTGGGGTGGGGCCCTATAACTTGCCAATTGCCACCATCCTAACAGAGGACCTACCACTCAATAGGTGCTACCTGGAAAAGTAAGTGATCCAAAGATCAATTTAAATATCAATATCATCCAAAATATGTGCAATCAGGATAGGGGTGGACAGTAAGCTGAGATCCCCAAATAAAACCTTGAATGGAATTGAATCATCATCATCTATGCCTTATCCCAACCATATGGAGTTGGCTACCTGAATCCTGTTTTGCCATTCCATTCTGGTCAGTGTCATATCCAAAATGTAATTATGTACCAAAAAAGTATGCTCTTTTCACTTTCTTCCTCAATAACCCACAAGGCTACCAGCCTAGCACATCAAAGTAGCAAACATCTGTGGACAACTTTTTTTGTCTCCTAACATTCACCCTAACTTCTACCAAGCTTTAAATATTCTTTGGAGAAACCAGTACCAGATGTTTTCAAGAAGGGGTTCTGAAATATAAGAGAATTTTTTTGATGAATGAAAGGCAGAGAGCCTTGGAATCACCTTCTATGTTATGTTTTGTATCAAGAGAAAACCCTGTAACATTAGTCTATCTAAGACAAAGGGCCTAAGGCTAAGATGAATTCTCCAATGGATGCTTCTCAACCATGGCCAATGTCTCTTACAAGATGGCATCTCTTCTAAAGGGGTACTTTGATACTACATCGGAATCCAAAGAAAGTAGAAACAGAAAATAAATTTTCTTTGTACCATGTAAAGTTTTTTTATGAAATTCCTTAAAAAGAAATTGTCATTAAATTTGTATCTTTGTATTTATAAATTTGCCACTATTAGGTAGTAAATCAACTCATATTTTCATACTACTCATTTTCATTGAGTGCAGAAAGAGCAATGTCACTTTTAGGCTGAAAGAGCATGCAGAAAATAGCATTGGTCTTGTATAATATCCTATATAAGTCCTTGGAATAGTTCTCTAACTCATAAAATAAGTCAAACAAAAATTCTCAGAATATTAACATGCAGCTCCATTGCTTCCAATTTGGCATTCATGTCATCAAGTGGGGAAAGAAAAAGGAAGCTTACATCTGCCTTTGAGTCTACCACAGTACCAAGAATTGTGTCCTCCACACAGGGTACATACTGTAGAACATAACAACCAAATAAATTATAATATTAGATTGCAAAAGGATAAAATTTAAGCAAGAATGAAGAAATATATTTTATCATCCAAAAGCTTAGGAGGTAGGTTATTGCTTCAAAGATATATACTTAAACATTCAATATGGACTTCAAAATAAAATAGTAAGATCCATAATCCTAGTTAAGACTACAAACAAAATTGAGTATCCCGAAAAACTAAAAGCCTAGTAATCCCTTATTATTCTTGAGAAATGATATACAGGCCTCCCAACCTTTATCAAAAGGAGAATTTATTTTGTTGTTTGCATGGCATACAGCCAACATATATGGTTGCATTAAAATGACAAGAAAACCTAAAACAACTCATCAAAAAATGAAAACCTAAAGCAACTTCAATTGTGAAATGGAAAGGTAGGTATAAAGTAAAATATTTCTACCCACCCTCTTCTGGGAACTTTCAACCCAATACTTGTTTGGTTTTGAGAACTTTAGCTTCCCAGCCTTCATCACAGAAATGGTGTCACAGTCCTGCAAATCAAGGCACCCTAATGAATACAAATGATTCTAATACCCATGCAAAGAAACAATGGTAAAAGATAAGCTGTCACGCACACAAAAAAATAAAAAACTACCAATTCGTAATCCATAGGATGAAAAACAGACCGCCCATAGGACCAGAAAATTTAAAGCAAGTCTTCATACAGACTACAAGCACCCAAAAAAAACTACCAATTTGTAATCCATATGATGAAAAACAGACTACCAATAGAAACAGAAAATTTATACTGCCAATAGGACCAGAAAATTTGAAGCCATCATACATACTCCATCTTACCAAAATATCTTCCAATCAAACAATAATATTCTAATATAGCAAAACACACACACGATCATTTTATGGTTTTTAGCTTATACTTTAAAATGGCAAAGAGCCCAATAAAAGTTATAACTTTATAGTATGATTTATCAATATTTTCACAGAGTCTTGATCTTTTATTTTATCTTGTTATGTTCTATTTTATTTCAATTGCATGTCCTTTTGTCTTCTGATAATGATGGAATTAGAAATGCCGGTTGTTAATCGTTTTGACCTTGTAAGAACTAGACTTAGATGATAACATCAGTTGCACTTGCACCACTTTTAGTTTATTTTTTATCAATTGATGAGTTGCAAGAAGTTGCATATATTGGATTTTAAGTATGAAGTTGAACTCAATTATACCATCCACCAATCATGATGTTGGTAATAATATTTAGAAGATGGCAAGGTGCCAATCAGCTGATTGGTCTCCTGCTGGTCATAGCGGAGACTTCGATCCGAATCCCGCCTGCGCCTGGGGTGGGGGGTTACAGGTTGGGGGATGGGCTACCCCCCATTGTGTAGCCCTTCAGAAGATATCAAAAAAAATAATATTTAGAAGATGATTGTAGGCTGGAAATAAGAGGAAAATTTTTCTCTTCCTTTTTCAATTTTGTATTTTTTACATTCGAAACATTATCTTAAGAACAGAAAAGTCTTATGATTTATGATTATATTCATACTTCACTTTGATTTAAACCCCTCATAATTCACAATAATTACAATTTTCTGAACATCAAACTGAACACCTCAAGAAACATGAGTTCAAGTTGAATGAACACAACACCTTTGTTCTCCAAAAGGAATCCATTCTTCAGCATTTACAACAAATAGCATTACCTTAGGAATATCATTATCAGAGGTATTCCACAAGTCCCATGCTAGAAGCTCCCTGCTTGTGATGCAATGACTGTATTTTCTTGTTTTTATTTTCTTAAAGCAATTTCTTGTTCCAGATCAAACTACTAGCTAGTTATGCAGTGCAAAGAATGTCGCCATCCATATTGCCATGAGAATATCCTGATCTTAGTTGTGATAGGTTCATTTTTTTGCTTTCACTAAAGAAATTGGCATCCTCCTGAGCGCACACACAATATGGAAAAAAAGCCAACCTCCATCACAATACAAGTTGAATTTTCTAATTATAATGGTCCAATGGTTATTGAAGTTGGGAATGGATAAAGAAATAATGCCACTAGGAGAAACAAACAAACTTGACACAACAAATATCAGCTAATTCTCATGGCTTCAGACCCAATTGCAGCATCAATGTAATTGCAAAGCCCTCACCATGACCAAATGGGTAAGGATCCATGATCTATGCAAGTGAATGCCACAAACCTGTAAACTGGATTTGACCAGTTTCAGGTGTAAGACCAAACAAAATATCCTTTAAATAAGATTGATAAGAAGTAGAAAAAACATTATGCATTTAGTATAATTTCACAAAATGATTGCAGCATACCTAAGTGCTTATATTAAGGGCCATAATAAGTTGTGACAGGTATAAAGGTGTTAAGTCAGTGAGCCTCAACATAAGATACATTCTATACTGAGTAGAACTGTATTATGTAGATAAAACATTGAATAAACACATCAGACAATATAACACCTCATTATGTGATGAAACTTAAATGCACATTGCACACATTATGGTTTACCACGTATAGTAGTTGTCAAATGTTATATTTTTTCAGATATATGAGCATGACGAAAATGAGAAAATGTGCATAACTAAATTTCCACTTGCCCCCTACAGATACTGCTTTATAGATTTTACTTAGAAATGTATTAATGTCCAAGCCCACCAATGTAAACCATTACCAGTCATCGTTAAAGTAAGTAGCTAATTGAAGCTTAAAGTAACTTAATCAAAGTTAAAAAGTCATCAAAATCCATAATTGATCACCATCGAATCCAAAAGTTCAGTAATATGTGAAGAAAGCGTTCACCACCAACTTATTAACCAATACACACTTGGCTTCCAGGAAAAAAGGGGAATCAACTATAGCAAGCTGAATTTCATGGATTGCTTTCTTACCTTCTGGCATGAGTTTAATAAGATCAAAGGAAATCATACAAATTCACATCGGGAGAAGGGGGTTGGGAAGGTTGTCAAACTTTTCTAGAGAGAAACCGGGAAAGGAAGCCCTATACGCACCTGACGCAATCCTCCACCCAACTTGATGGTTTGGTTAGACATGCTTGATAGATCAAGAACCACATCTCCCGGTACCTAAAAAAAGCGGTAACAGAATAAAGTAGAAAAAATTGATTTAGGTACTGAGTACTGATCGTACAGAGAGCTTAAGGAGCCAATAGTTGCACATGAAGCATTGTACATTCAGGAGAGAGAGGGAGAAAAGGAGGGAGGGAGAAGTCCTTACCACTATCTGGTCAATGAAACTCGTGGTTAGATTCAAAGATCTATCATCCATGACTCTTTCACAAGACCAGGATTTGTCTTACCAGAAACTAGTGCTAAAGGTGGTAGTGGTACGCGGGCTGCCGTATTTCTTGGTTTTCCCTGTTACAAACAATTCAAACTCGGAAACCCAGTAACTGGAACTAAGAACAGAGAAAATTTTCGACTTTCGTATAGAGTACAAAAAGGGAAAGAAAGAAGAGGAAGAAGAAGAATACATATAAGTACTCACCTCCCTCATAAAGTAGATATTCATATAAACAGGAAGAATCAATCTCAGTTTAGAAGAAGAAAGTACAATGTAGTATTTACCTCCCTTGCAGAGAAACCTCTGGGTATTGCACGAACTTCTGTGTAATCGTCTCTGAACGTTGCAATAGAGCCGAAAAGGAGAAAGGGAGAGAGAGCCGGCGTCTACTTGTGCTGTTCTGCAATCTGCTACGAGCTTTGCAAGAGAAAAGAGTTTGGGCGAGGTGTCTGTTTAGAGAATAAAGAAAAGGTGAAGAAAGGGCGAGTTAGGGCATTAGGTTCCTCTGCGTTGAACTTGCCAAAAAATCACAGCGTGTCCATACATATTTGCACCACATCAAAAAGTGAGTGTTCGGAAAAACTTTGGTGAGTGACACCTAATCATGAGTGTGGGTAAAATAAAGGGTAATAGGATATAAGGGCAACTTTGGGGGTTTAATATCAATAAAAGTAATATATTTAAAAAAATTTTAAAAATAGATTACCTTTTTAAAAATAATATCAATAAAGGGCAAAAATATTGTTCATCTTCTTCTTGCCATTTGTTCACTAGAGCCGCCGCTTGCCACCGCCATCCACTGCCGCCCATCACCGCCTCCGCCTCCGACAACGTTGCTAGAGGCGGAGGCGGCAACAGGCGACAGTGAATGGCGATGGTGGGTGGTGGCGGGCGGTGGCAGACAGCGGCTCTGGTGAACAAATGGCAAGAAGAAGAAGATGAACTGTATTTTTGCCCTTTATTGATATTATTTTTAAAAAGTTAACCTATTTTTGAATTTTTTTAAATATATTACTTTTATTGATATTAAACCCTAAAAGTTGCCATTATATGCTAGAAACCCTAAAATAAAGGGAAAATTACCGAACAGCACACAATAAGTCAGAAACCAGATTAAATGAATGCTTTAGTTGTTCAGCCGGCTGTGAAACCAATGATGAGGTTATACGCCAATAATAAATTCATGGCCCCACCATAAAAAATGTGGGTCTCGTGTATTTAATACTGGCATGGAATCTTACCATTGGTATAGCCTCCTAAACAACTATAGCGCTTAAACCTTGATCATCAAGTCAGTCCCCAAACTTTAAAATGTGTCTCTATGGTAACATTAGGTCCTTACCGTTAGTTGACTGTTAGTCATGCCATCACATAACATTAGGTGTGCATTATATAATTTTAAAATGGCAAAATTACCCTTTATGATATTTTTCTTACCATTTTACCCATTCCGTTTGAATGTTAGGGCCTATTTGTTTTCTTTGAAGTCTAACATCTGAAAGTGCAATAATTACAATAAGAGGTATATTGGTATTGGTGAACTTTTCTTTCCTCTGAACTCTGAATGCAGAGAATGTTGTTTTGAATTATGAATTCTAAATTCTGAAAATTATCAAATATCCATTTTGACCACATATATGAGAGCTTTTGTTTGTCTTTTTGGGAGTATCATTGGAAAACAAAAAGTTGTATGATTGCACTTTGAGAGATAAGAGATAAGAGGAAACAAACAACTGATTTTTCTCTTAAAGTTAAAAGATTCCTCTTAAGATATAAGAGTTAAGAGGAAACGAAAAAACCCTTAGAAGAAGGAAAAGGGGAAAAGGGTTATGAAATCGGACACCAACAACTATTGAAGCTCTTGCTCCCCTGTTCAAGTCCCCCTGTTCAATGATCAACTATAACTAGATGATCACATGTCCAATTTCATAACCCTTCATCCCCTTTCCTTCTTTTAACACTTAGACGAAATGGGTAAAATGGTTAGAAAAATACCATAAAGGGTAAATTTGCCATTTTGAAATTATTTAATGCACACCTAATGTCATGTGACGGTGTTGACTAATGGTAGGAACCTATTAGACACAATTTGAAAGTTTTGGATACTATAGAGACATGTTTTGAAGTTCGAGGACTGAATTAATACAACCCCCAAAGTTTAGGGTACTCTTAAAAAATTTTCCCTAAAATAAAACAATATTTACACTAACCTTCTTCTAATTGAAAATGCAAATGAGTAGCTGAATTAGCTAAAGTGTCATGTGCAAAGGCTCCCAAAACAGCTCAGGCTGTTTTCTCCAAATAGCCAAAGTGGTTTAGGCTTGTTCTATGTAAATGTTTGATTCGATCCTATTTTGTCGGATTCGAATAACCCATTGTTGGATTTTGCAGATCGGATTGGGTTGGGTTCAAATCACCCCTACCTAGTCCAAAAAGATCCGATCTAATTGGACCTATATATATGTATATATTTTTAAACATATTTACTTATAAAAAGACATGTATATATTATTACGTTTATTTAGAAATATGTTTATATATTGCATTTTTTGTAATTTGTTTATAAAAAATAAATTTTTATATAATATATGATGAAAATAATTGAAAATATTTATATTTTCTATTTTTCTTTGTATAAACTTTTTTCTTTTAATAATTTATTAATTTTTTATATAATTCAAATCGGATCATATCAAATTCGAATATCTAACATCCTTAACGGACTCGGATTTGAATCACCATTTGTGAGATCCAATTAGATATTCAAATCAGATTAGAACTTATATACGTGCTATCAGATTGGATTCAGATATACCCTAATTTGGATTCGGTCCAATCCATTTGCATCCCTACTTGTTCATGGGGGTGATTCGGTTCATTTTCCCTTAATATTGCCAATTGAACCCAATTTTTCAAGTTGAATTTGAGGCAAACAGCAACCATGGGTTGTATTTGGTTGCAATGCAAATAAATCTGCACCAATGCAAAACTATGGCAGTACAAATGATTTTAGTGTAAATTCTAACATATTTTTGTTTCAAATTTTAGCTTATTTTGTTTGATTGCAATACAAATAAAGTAAATTAAGACATAAAGGAAAATAAAGTAAAACCCAAAACAAAATAAATGAGAATTTGTATTTTTTTTTTATTTGCACTCTCATGCATTGTACTAGTGCAAATAAAAATGCACTGCAACCAAACACATACTTTTTTTTTTCAGCAAAGATAGAAACTGGATTCATTAACCTTATGATTAATGAATCATATCTTATGATTAATCTCATTTGACTTAAAAACATTCCTTGAACTTTTAAAAAAGTTATTAAACTCTTATTTTATCCTTTTATACTCTTATGTCATTTTTCTAGAGATATTCTTGTTCTCCTTCCAGTGAGATAATAAAAGAAGAAAGTGGGAAAACAAATAGAGATAGAAATTTATTGATATTGGAATCTCAAACGATTAAAATTGTGAGGCAGAGAATCACCATTAGATCTTGGGGACTTGGCCCTAATCCACTACAAGTGACAATAGATGCTCCTGGTCCATGCTGAAATTGGAGTGAGGAGTTGGGGTGGGGTGTCAAGGGTTTTGAGCTTGTAATGAAGTAACTTGTACAAGCTCCAATAGAATGTAGTTTTAATTGTAATGGTGAGATAGTTCCTCCCATTCACACTGAAAACACGTTTTCTATAGAGAGATTGATGATTTGACGCAAAGAAAAGAAATAATGAAATGGAATTAAAAAGAGAAAAACAATAAATGAAAAAAAAAAATTAATGTACGATTTGTGTTTTTTTACTATTTTTTCTTCGCGTTTAATACTATCTTAGTGGCTTGTTGAGCAATGGTTGAGTCAATTTTGTCACTACAACCCTGTTGGAAACATGAGTGGCGTTTTGGTGGTTATGATGTCGATGAAGGGTATTTGTTTGATTGTTTCTTGTCGGAATGTTGCATCTGCTAGCCTACGGAGGACATTGAACTGAGAGGAAATGTGGTCGGATATGCCCACCACCCATTAACATATTGAACTATAACAATGAAGAAACACGATTCTTTTTTGTTCTTTATAAAAATTTGAAAGAAAAATAAAGGCTAAAAGATTCACAAGTAAATTTGGTTAATATTTTGGACCGCAATTTGACAAATTGACATTTTTGTTTTCTGATATTATCAGCTATAAAATTGGTTTATATTTTGTATTGCAATTAGGTTTTCACTAGTAGACAATTCTTTTATAATTTAATTTTTAAATAATTAATACTTAGTTATACTTTATGTATTATTTTTAATACTTTTTTGCAATACAAAAATAATAATAATAATTAATTTCAGTTAAGGATGCTCATTAAATTGATGAAACTGGCCTAATTCGTCCCGAGTTGGTCACTTTATAGAATTTTCGGTTGGCTAAGGTTAAGCAATTTCCCAACCTAACCAAGTTAGGTTAGTTTTGGTTTGGCCATTTATAAATTGACCAAAATTGAATTGGTCTGATCATAAATATATATTAATATTTTATATTTCAAATATATTTTTTTAATATAGGAAAGTGGGAAAATTCTCATATTTCTTAGTCTAAAATATTTTATATTGTAAACTTAAATTTTTAAATTTATTCTTTTAATAATATCATTGCATTTTTTAAATGTAATTTAATTTTTTAAGCTAAATCTTTTGAACCGACCCAAATCGATACCAATGTTTTCAACCTGCCATTAACTCGACCGGTTGAACCATTCGAACCATCATCCAACCTTGACTCTAGGTCTAATTTTATCAAAACCCACCTTTAAGTCAAAAATCGTTGACTTGGTAAAAAACCACCTTGACTTGGAGGGTTCAACTATTGACCCATTCAACCCGATCACCATGTTACAGGTTGCATACTTAATGCATGTTCAAACTTTTAAAGACCATAACTTTGCACTATGATGTCCAATTGAGGTGATTTTTTTTTTGGGTAATTTTTCAAGATATATGTGTCCTAAGGTGTCGTGGGTGCCCTGCCCCACTATTTTTGCGAAAAAACCCTTTTTTGTCCTCAAATCATAATTTTTATCTTTTTTATAAACAAAAAAATTAAAACTAAATTAAAAAATAATACATATATTATATGTAAAACATAATTATACACTATTTACTGATAAAATATGTATTTGTACACATATATATACATACATACACATTTATATATGTATATAAATATATATTTATTTAAATATATGGAGTGTTAACGTGGAACGATCTAACCTGTTCGACCAAGACAGTTGAACTGGTGACTGCGACCCATATAAAAGAGTGGGTCGATCTCCTGATTGGTTTTTAAAACATTGACCAAACAACATGAGTTGGTTAGTTAGTTTCGAGTGACCAACTCCCCAACCCAACAAGATCGATCAATTTGGTTGGACAAACAATCTATAACTAAACTGAACCACCTAGCGAACACTCCTAATTT